AATGTGACCTCCCCAACTCCTGAATGATAGGAAGGGAGTAGAGGCAAGAGTTGTTTGGGTGGTCGCTCCCCCATTCATAGTGATTGGCACCTTGACGATGCAAGCTCCTAGCCAAGGTGGCGTAAGGGGTAGTATCTTGCAAGGCCAATGCCTATCAAAAGCCCCAAAGCACGCTGAGGACTGTGTGTGTAAAAGCATGACGAAGTGGGTCATCCACTTGTCATTGTCTTCTCTCCTGAGAGATGGTGGAAATCCTAAGCAATGGGATTGGCTTGGCCAGATGAATAGGGCTTCTACTTCAACAGTAGGTGAATTAGGGAGCCTGCTAATGCTGTAGTGAACGCTTACTACAAGACTTCTGTTGTTGTGAATATTTATCACATGACTTCTGTTGTTATGAATGCTTATTGCAAGACTCCTGTTGTTGTGAATGCTTATTGCAGGACTTCTGTTGTTGTGAATGCTTATTGTAGGATTTATGTAGCTGTAAATGCTTATTTGATTATATCTGATACTTAATGTTGATCTCAATATGAATCGTGTGCCTATGGTTTATGTATCATGCTTATTTGCTTTGTTTAATAAGGAATACATGATATGTGTAGGACTATAAATGAATTTACCTAATAGCATGTATTGGAATATATGAAATCAATACCTAGAAATTTTGCTTAATATGCATTCTTTTATAAAATATCTACATTTCTTAATAATGATTATTTTTAAGGATAATGATGATCACTTATTAAATAGCCAAACTCATTAAATTATGGTAAATTTTTCAGGGTACTTGCAGTCTCATAGTTCGAATGCAGCAAGACCAACCTTGAAGAAATTGTAGTCATGATTAAATTCCCTTTGTAACTTTTGGCTTAAATTCGCCATTGTAACATTTGTTGTGTGTAGACTTTGCACAGGTTAAAAGAAATTAAAAATCTGTTTTGGTAAGTAGGAATTTGAATTTGTTCTATTTATATATATATACATATATATATATATATATATATATATATATATATGTAGTATAAGAATAATATGTCGCATCTCAGGAATGTTAGTATACTTGGGGTATGATAGGTCAGCTCTTGACTTGGCTCAGTCCCGATCCCTATAAGACCGGTCAACTTGGACCAAGACTAGCCCAATCTTGGCCTATGCCAAGCCGTGACACCTCCGTGCCCAAAAGATCTAAAGTGAAAAAAAAGAAACAAAGAAAAAGAAAAATAAAGGGTTGAGTCCAATCGGGCCAGCCCTTGGGCCACATTTTGTGCCCCAAACCCTAATTTTTTAAGGTGTTGGGCCACCCAGCTCTTGCTAGCCCTGCCTAGAAATTTGTTGCCTAAAAATAAAGAAAAAAGTGAAAATTTGCAATTCAAAACAAAGAAAATCCATAAATTCAAAATATAACCTTAAAAGAGTTTAAGCATATACTTAGTTGGATCTTGAAAATTCGAATAAAAAGAATCTTCAAAGTCTCTTTTACCTGAAGGAGTTAATGTACAGTATCCTCCCACGAGAGCATCACTCCCACTACAGCATCCTATATGCTTTTCTTTAAAATTCATTTTTTTTAAAAAAATTTTGTATCTTTAGAAACTCAAATTTTAATTATGTTTCTAATAAAGGAAAAGTTTAAATAAAGTTGTAACCTTGTACTACAACAGTAAGGTGCACCTAAAAAATTCAATGGAAAAAAAGTGTTATGAAGTTTGAAAGCCTTCGAATGATCATTTTGACATCGAGTTTTACATAAAGAAAAAAAGATTTCCTAATCCTAAAAATAATGCATCATGTAATACATTATTTGGATCATTTATTTTCAAGGTTTTTACTTGTTTTGATATACACCGCATTTGGATTTTGAAATTTCATAATTAGGGTTCAACATCAATTTTAAGGCCATCATAATGCTTTTGGCAACAGAGCTACATCTTTCGGCAAAATTCAGACATGTGCCTATAAGGTGGGCACCTTATACAAATTTTACCTTTTAATTAAAGGACAAGGTTTCTATGAGTTGGCCGATTTATCTGATTAAATGAGTCATCTCTTCTAAGTCTTTTTTAGAGATAGATTTTGGATTCAAAGTTTTGAAAATCTCAACCTTGATGACTTGGAATCTTAAAAAAAAAATTTTAAAATAAAACATAAAATTTTTTTTGACATAATTTGTACATCATTGACATTAAAATTTTTTTGGGGCCACTATTTTCTAACATCCATCTCCAAAATGGATATTCATGCGACAAGGGATGCTATTGTAGAAGTGCATCCCCTTTTTTTTTTTTTTACCAATATCTTTAATTTTATTAGAAACTAATCAAAAGTGATTACATAATTAGAAACAAAGAGAGAAGGCAAAGAGATCCCCCTTTAGCCAGATAGTCAGCCACATGGTTTGCCTCTCTATAAACATGCGAAAGGGCAAAGTACCCATAGTTGTCAAATCCATGACTCTGCAACCACACAGACCGTAACTCCCAATGGACTTTTTGTTCCAAGCGACACCATTTGATCACATTTAATGAGTCCCCCTCAACTGTGCAGCTAGAATTCAAATCTTTCTCAAAGAAGATCTTCAGTCCATATAATAGTGCACTTAATTCCGTAAAATTGGCAGTATTGCTTCCAATTGGTCCGGCTAATGAGAAAAAGACATTACTATAGCAATCACGTAGAATCCCACCAATACCAGCCGGCCCTGGGTTACCAAAAGAGCTTCCATCAAAATTTAGCTTGTAACTTCCAGGGCATGGAGTAATCCACACACTTCTTGGTCTAGATTTACTAAGACTGAGAAAGAACAAATTGTTCAGATTGGCCATCACATCTACCTTATTAATACCCCAACTTTCTTTATGCACAGATAACCAAGTCCATATGGTAGATTTACAAACATGGATCAAGCGTTCAAAGGAGCAAACAGTTCCATCAAAAGTTCTTCTATTCCTTTCTTTCCATACTTCCCAAAGAATAGCCTTATTGAATTTTTCGAAATTAATGGCCCTGTTTTAGGAAGAAAAGGAACTTTAAGTGAGGAAACAATTTCCCTACGGCCCGTGGAAGTGGCATGGAAACACCAACCGACCCAAGAAGCCAATGCCACAATCTCATAGTGAAGGGACAATGAATCAATAAATGAGCTCCATTCTCGGCATCCTCCTTACACAATAAACAAACATTAGGTAGAATTTCCCCCCTCTTGATCAGGTTATCGACTGTGAGAATTTTATATTGTGCCGTTAACCAAATGAAAATATGCACCTTGTGTGGGATTGGCCATTTCCAAACTTGTGCAATGTAATTACAAGATCATCTCCATCTATCTTGAAAGAATAAATTATAGCAAGATTTCATTGAGAACACACCATCAATTTCTATTTCTCAAATTAATCCATCTTTACCAGCATCGGAGACATAAACTTTGTCTAATATTTTCAAAAGTTGACACCATTGAGCAAGGTACTCATTACTCAGTCGCCTATAAGCAACATATATGTCCCAAGATACACTCATGCCTCTCCTTTCTATTGCCTCACTCACTTTCAAATTAGGTCGGGTAACTAAGTTAAAAAGGTCCGGAAAAGCTGATTTAAAGGATAGTCTCCCAACCACTTATGGTTCCAAAAAGAGGTTTGCTCCCCATTTTCGACAACCCATCGAAAATACCCAAAGATCATCGGTCTACAACTTAAAATGGATTTCCACATTGGTGACAAATTCTTCCCTCTTCCACTCCCCAACCACAATTGCAATTTATCTAAACCATATTTTGCATATAAAACTTGGTACCATAAGTGGTTTTACAAATGGATACTTTGTCGCCATCACTTGCTTTGAAGTGCTTAGTTAAAAATTTTAATTTTTTGAATTCCCTAGCCTCATTGTTTCTTAGGGGTGCACACTCTATCCCATCATAATAAATGATACTTCCTAATCCTATCAAAGGAACCCCACAAAAAATCCCTCATCATTTTTTCCAATTTTTTTACTATCGAGCTTGGAATAGAGTTTAAAGACATCTGGTAAACCGATAAATTAGCCAAACAAGAACGAAGCAGAGTTACTCTACCTCCTAAAGATAATATTTTGGCTTCCATAAATCTAGCTTCAACTGCACTCTTTCCAAATTCTTATCCCAAATCGAAACAGATAGTCTAGAGTCGAAAATAGGAATACCAAGGTAAACAATAAGAAAGAAACCAACCTTGAAACCAACCGTGTCAACCAAAGCCTCAACTTCTATAGGGTCGCAGTTGATACCAATAATTGAGGATTTGCTAAAATTGCCTTTGATAACCAATGTCACCTCACAACATTCCAGGCATATTGCTATATTCCTCACTTGCAAACTATCAGTATCACAAAAGATTAAAGTATCATCAACATATTTCAAGTGAGAAATAACAATTGAGGAATTGCATCCCCTTACACTGCTTTTTTTTTTTTTTTTGGTAGATTAGTGGGCTGTTTTAGAAATGGGAAAGTTTATATGGAGCAAAGGTTCTAAACAATCAAATGAGATCTTACCTCAAAAAATTCACTAGAAGATGTTGTTTTGATGCTCAAATATCTTCAAATTGATAATCTCGGCATCAAGATGCATGGACATGAGAAAATAATGGATTTCAAGTTTTGGAAATAGTCTATTTTTATAACGTTTTTTTAGACCATAATTTTTCAAGATTTTCAAGTTTTCATATATCTATTTATCTACACTATTTATAAATAAAGATGAAAATATATTTTAAAACTATCATAAAAATTTTTAATATTAAAACCACATTTCTTGACACTATTTGAAGGTAGGTTCTAATTTAATTGCTTAGAGCCTAGGCTCTATGCAAACCGCACCCTTGAGAAATAGTCAGTAATTTGGGGAATACAGGCTCCTACGCATGTGGTCGTATATCTGAGGCAGTATATGTACAATGTGCTTCGGTGGGAGCACGATATATGCGCCCACTTTCTGAATTTAGAGAGGGGGAGACCACTGGAGAGAGAGTAAACAAAAGCAGTAGGGTAGAGGGAGAGAGGGGGAGGGGGACTAAACAAAATTATTAGGGCAGAGTGGGAGAGACTACTGTTTCCGATCTCAAGCTTTCATATGGTGAGACATGTCACTCAGTTAACATTCCCAGATCTGCTCTTTCTTTTTTCCCTTTGATCTTTGTTGTCTCGCTGGTTATTGATCTCATTGGTTTAAACATTTACGCATCATCTGATGAATAGGCTCCTTCAGCGAAACCCATTGGTAGTCCCCTACCAGAAGCCTGGTACCCTACCCTTGCGCTGCTTCTTCTCACAGTCGGCTTTTTGGTGACCGCCACTTTCTTTATGTAAGTGTCTGGCGCAAATTTTCCCTCTTTTCAATTAACTTATGTGCAATTGCACTTGAATTCCACGTGAGTGTGTATGTTTTCTCTTACTTGATGACGATTTGTGATGCCTATTCATGAATTGAAGTTTAACATTGATTTTCTGATGAAATTGTGAGGATTTTATAGTTTTTGTTATCTTATGGGTTCAGCTGTTGATATAAATTTTTTACTTTATGTTCATTTGGGAATTATATTGCAGTTTCTCGTTGTGGAACTGTTGTAAAAGGTTTCTGATTGTCAAAGTGTCCTCTCTCTCTCTCTCTCTCTCTCTCTCTCTCTCTCTCTCTCTCGTTCTCGTTCGTTCGTTCGTTCGTTCGTTCGTTCGTTCGTTACGTTCGTTGTTGTTCGTTCGTTACGTTCGTTACG